TCTAATTCTAATCCTTACTTTAATTTTAACCTTCTTTCTAATTAAACTATAATATTTCTTAAATCAAAAGGCATGTCTGTGACTTGTTTTTCCCAAAAACACCTGTTTGTGGAGATACTCTGTCTCAGTTTCTCACTCCCTCATCAATCACAACTGTCAATGTTGTTACTTATAAAGGGTGTGAGGAAGTACTTGTTTTTCCTTTTTAGCTAAAGGTTGCAAAATTTGCATTCCCTTGTCCCTTCAGGGGGGAAATTTTTTGCTGTTGAGCCCTTTTTACATTTTTATACATAGGTTTATTGCTAATTCCACATCCTTGCACATTCTAAGGGGCACCCTTTTTGCTGCAATCTCACCTCCATTATGCCTATGTATAATTTTTGCTGTCAAATGCCATCGTCCACTTGTGCATCTATTATCTCAATTAAAGAGGGAATATTCTCAAGCCTATGCACACAATCCTTCAAAGTCAGGGAAGGTCCGTCAACAGGATCCATGGGGCTTTGCCTCCGTCATGGCCGCATTTTACTGGGGCCTTTCTCCCAGCCTGCGTTTTTCCTGTTTTCAGGTCCTTTTTACCTTACTTTTACTAGGGATTGTGGCTCCCGGCATTGGAGTTTCACTGTCGCCCAGACTGGAGTGAAGTGGCCACTCCCGGCCACCACAGCCTCGACCTGCTGGGCCCGAGATCCTTCCGCCTCAGCCTTCCAAGTAGCTGGAACTACAGGCGCACACTACCACACCCGGCTAATTTTTTTATTTGTTGTAGAGATGAGGTCTTGCCTGCCCAGGCAGGTCTCGAACCTATGGGCTCAGGCAATCCACTCACCTCAGCCTCCCAAAGGCGCGGGATTACAGGCTGAGCCACCGAGCCCAGCTCTCATTTTCATTTAAAAATTTACTGTGAAAAATTGTTTCAATGTTTTATGGGAAATTTCTTCAGAATGTTTTACTTCAAGACAACGTTAAGACAATTTATTGGAACTAGATAGGCTCCAATTCCAGCAAGAGTGGGATTAACACCATGGAGGTGTTTTGATCTTTGGTTTTGCTCCTTCAAGTCTGTCATCAGTGAAACTGTCAGTGGCCTAAAGGAAGGCTCAACCAGCTCCAGGCCATCCTCTCCACAGCAGGTCACTTCATCGCTGCCTTCAACCCCTTCCCTTCGCCACAGGGACTGAAGTATATTTTATGGGTGGGTGATGATAAACACTAAAACTTGAATAATTTGAAATATTACTAGAGAAGGTCCTGAAGCCCACCCCTCCGCCCGCCCCTCTTGCTGTTGAGCCTGGGTTTTCCCAGGAGGTCAGGCGGAAGTCGGGAGCTACCACTCTTCTCTCCCAACCTGATCCCAAGGGACGTTAAGGTCCCAGACTTAGCAAAAGAAAACAAAATCCAGGACGCCCAGTTAAATCTAAATTTCAGATAATGAAATTTTAGTATAAGATATTAACTTTAGTGTAAGAGACGTATACTAAAAGTATTACTTGTTTATCTGAAATTGAGATTTAACAGAAATTCAAATTCAGATAAAGCTGTATGTTATCCACAACTCAGCACCAGGCCTCGTGACTTCCCTGCTGAGGCCATGCAAAGTTGCCTGCCAGCCTGTGCCCATAATGGGAAAGGCTGCATCAGCTGAGGGTGCAGGGTACTTGTCTTGCTGGACCATGTTCACCTTTCCCCAGGACACACTGGAATAAAAAGACACTGTAGCCTGAGATGGTGAGATTTGCAATTCCCAGTGGATTCTGTACATTCTAACCCAAATGAGGTATGAGACCAAGGCCTTGATGCAGTACCTAATCTGACAATAAGATAGGATAGTTAGGATACCAGTTTAGGACCCTCACTGGTAGAAGATGGAAGCTGTGAACTCTGACCCTGGGGACCCAGATGTGAGACAGGACATAGGTATCCTGCAGAATCTAGTACTACTAGCTAAGTACATTCATAGTTGGCAACTTTCTGGACAAAACTGGATAACAGCGGTGAGCAGTAATTTAACCACTCCCATAGAAAGGGCTGGTTCTCTTTGGGTGGACAGAGGGGAACACAGTCCATTCTTCTTGTACTTAGTAGTTATGTTCCACAATGTTGGCAAGAAGAACTTGTCAAGTCTGAGCCTTTGCTCCTAGGGGAAATACAGGGCTAGGTTCCTGCGAGCTCCTGGTCACAGCATTTTGGACATTACATGACCTTTCATCGTGTCTGCTTAAAGACTCCTTGATTCATATGAATTGTTACTTTATTAACACTGAACTCATGACCAACAGTATTGTAACTCAGGCCTGAACACTTGAATTTTCTCCATCAGACACACCACGGCATTCTTGCCCTTAGGACATTAGACAGCACTTCAGAACTAAGTTTGGGGACATTTTAAACAGCAAAATCACCAACAGAAGCACACAAAAAAATATGAAAACCCTGGAAAAAGAGAACACAAAAAGGCCATTTGTTTACAGCACAAGAGCAAAACCTGGCTGGGAACATGGACAGCCGATGACAATTTTTCCCCTGCTCTGTACATGTCTGCAAATGGTCACAAAAGCAACACGAGTATTGATTTGGGGAGCTACAAATAGATATTAGCACATAGGCAAATTCCCAAATATCGAATTTGTGAATCACGAGGCTGACCTGTGCATTCTCAAATTACTTTGACCTGTGGAAAACTCTGCTTGAACATGTGTGTAGTTCTTACTTCAAGGCTAAGATGATGCCGTTATCTTGGAGTTCTGGGATTCCTACCAGCTAACAGTGTTTTTCACGTCCAGAGGACAGGGTCTCAGGAATTATTTGCTCCTTGGGCCAAGTGTCCTCCAAGTGACTGAATGGAAGCATATTTTCCATAATAAAATTGCACAAAGGACTGACTTTATGAAACATCTATTGAAATGAAGGATGTAAGGGGCCATTGTACCTGGCTAGACAGAATGATCTGATTTTGAACATCCTGGGACTTTTTATTAATTTTTTAAAAAATTTAAATAGGGAGAAAGTCTCACCCTATTGCCCAGACTGGTCTTGAATTCCTGGCCTCACACCTCAGCTTCCCAAAGTGCTTGATTTTGAATTTTCTTGATGACCATAAAAATCAGTCACTTCTCAGGTGACACCTAAGTTTTAAAGACACTGAACTGAAGTCTATGCAGACAACACAACTGAAATTTTACATGACTTTTTTGTTCCCTAGATCTGTTTTTGTTTAGTGGAAAATGATCCTCCTTGGCTAAAAACATCAGGTAGGAGCTGCTGTTCCACATGGGACCTCTCCACTGCACATGCCTTGGGAAGGGGAAGGATATACGGTTGATTCAGGATCTTGGCCTGGAACCTCATGTTTGTTGCTGTTGTTTTTATGACAATAAATATTGGGATTTCAATTGAAAGGAGGAACTGTTGAAAGGAGGAACTGTTGAAAGGAGGAACTGTCGATTAACATCCTCTTATATTAGAGCAAGGTTTTAAAAACCACTTAATTTAATTAGAAATATTCACATTAACTCATGAATTCTTGCAATTGACCTTCTTTTCCCAAGTCCACACCAAAGCACCTGTAAGCACTGGCTGTCATTTCCCCCAGAATGGGTGAGCTGGTCCAGATATGATTTAACAGGAAGATAGGTTATTTGCAAATACTACACCATTTTATATCAGGGACTTGAGCATCTGAGGGTGTTGGTATCCACAAGGGTGTCCTGGAACCAACCCATCCCTGGAACTGAGGGACAACTATAACGCTGAGAAGCAAGACTGGCTCAGGAGAAGGGGAGTCTATGGAGAAAGGGGTTGAACTCCAGGGCAGCCGATGTGGGGCAGCTGGGCTGGAGAGGAGGAAGGAGGTAGCTTCCCAAGTGCACAGAAAACCCCCTCTCACTCCTCTCTTAGGAGGTGGCCAGGGTCCCAGGTCAGTGCCCAACTGAGAGGAAGACCCACATGGTCCACTTACGGTCCTTGTGATGTGGACAGCCAGAGTCTTGTGCACCTCTCTCGGGTGCTTCTCACTTCCTAGTCTGCTCCTCCCTCCTCCTCCTCAAGCCTCTACTGCAGGAAGTGAGGCAGAAGAAGCCCTCTGGGGAGGAGGAGGAGGGTGGCTCTGGGTTTGCCCAGGGTTATTAGCCTCTCAGCCACCTGGCGCCCTTATCACCTGTCTCCTGGGCACACACTGACTGCATCTGTCTTGGTTCCTGACAGGTGGGCAGTCTTGGACAGCTGGTGTCTGCAAGGACTTAAAGAATATGAAGCCGGGACACACGAATCCCGGTGAGGTCTCAGGATCGCTGTGTCCTTCTTCTCTCTGTCTCTCCTCCCCAGCATGAGCACAGCAGCCGTCTGGAGAAGAATTTTCCAATGTTAAAACTGAAAAGAATCACTGCAGCCTCTCTGCGCACTCACAGGTTTGCAGTTAAAAAAATGTGTTCCGCACCTTGGGAGGCTGAGGTGAGTGGATTGCCTGAGCCCGCGGGTTCGAGACCCGCCTGGACAACTTGGCGAGACCTCATCTCTACAATCAATCAAAAGTTAGCCGGGCGTGGTAGTGCACACCTGTAGTTCCAGCTACTCGAAAGGCTGAGGCGGAAGGATCGCCAGAGCCCAGCAGGTCGAGGCTGCGGTGACCGGGAGCGGCCACTGCACTCCAGTCTGGGCAACTGAGTGGGACTCCAACTCAAAAAAAAAAATGTGTTCCAGGTTAAAGGGAGGCAGACAGCAGAGCCAGACTGAAGTTCACTCCTCCTGATTTGGAACTCAGAACTCTTCTTTGGCAACATTTTAATGGATGAAAACGAGTTCTTGTAATTCCTTTCGAGCTTCGTGCCCTATTCTGAACTGGGAGCCAGATTCAACTGACCTTTGTCCTTGGGGCAGAGACCTGGTCCACAGGCCCAATCCAGGACCTCAGAGGGAAAGCAGGTGGAAATCCTCATCCCCAGCTACAGACCTGCCAGGGCTCAGGAGAGCTCAACCCAGCCAGGCACACCATGCCAGCAGAGATGGTTCAGGACGTGGAAGTGTGGAAGCAAGTATTTCAGGAATCAATTCGGGAGGTGAAACCATGGCATACTTGGACCCTGACACCAGACAAGAGCCTTCGTCCCAATGTCTTCATGCCAGGATGGATGCAATACCAGCAGTTTACCTTTGCCAGGTGAGGGAGTGGAATGCGATAGTACACATTCCAGAAAATTCTTGCTTATTTCATACTGTGTATACTTGTTACTTTTCTTGCTCCATTCCATGCTTGCAAATTGAAGACTATAGGACATAAGATGCTAATCATCCAAGAATTTGTAACTTCATTAAAGGTTTTTCCCCCTGTTACAATAAACCTCAAAACAATAGCAGGCCTGGGCACTGCTGTGGGCTAGTGCCTATCCAGCGATACAGAGAAATCAGGCTGCGGGGGTGGGGACAAGAAGCAGCAAGGAAAGTGGAAAAGGAGGAATGGCAGCAATTTCACTCAAGTGGCAGCACATACGTGCCCCTCTGAGGGAGACTTCCGAGTCCACCATGGAGTCCCCGAGGGAAGAGACCCCCTGCACTGCGGAGAGCCCCGCAGTGGGGACTGGGTAACACACAGCAATCTTGTCTCATTCTACTCTGAATTTATGGAATCTTAGAGATCATCCAAAGTCTCATCCTCTCTTTTCCAGGGGGGAAAGTAGAGCCCCAAGGCCTAGGGATGGGGAAGTGGTTGTCCACGGCACACAGAGCATGGAGTCCTGATTCCATCTCACCTGTGCCCTCTCTCGGGGAGAATCTACGCAGAGGAAGTAGAGCTCTCCTCATAGCCTGTGGTGTTCCCAGGCCAGCAGCTGGCATCAGGAACATTGGATCTCAGTCCATCTGTTTGTGAGAACTTTGAACTCTAAGCCACACAAGAGCAGAGCACCATGACCCAGGGGAGGGCAGTGGACTCTGACTCAGAACAGGCCCAGGTCCCTTGGCACCACTGACTCTGAGTAACTCCCATCAAGGTGCAATGTCCTCGCGCAGTGGTCAAAGCATTTTGGCCTCTCCCCCTTATTTCATCCTCACATTCATCCAGTGAGGTGAGACTAGAACCAAGATACAGAAGTGAAACATAGATGAACCCACTCCTCCCAGCCTTCTCCAAAACCACACTTCAAGTCCCCCTGCGCCAGACCAGACAAGACTAGACTCAGGGAAGTAACAAATAAACCCAGAAATATCGGTGATTTAACCTAACACCTGGCTCCTGAGGTTACCAAGGCAGAGGAAGAGAGGGCCGGAATGTCTTATGAGGGCTTCTGTGGCCAGATCTGGAAGAAGCATATAACACCACTGGCCTCATTTCATTAGCCAACTGGTCCCATGGTTCCAACAAGGATGCTGGGAAGCAGGGGGGAGTGCCTGGATAATTTGGTGAGCATTAAATGTCTGCCACACGTAAGTCCGCTGCCTCTTGCATAATTCCTACCTTGGGTGTAGGCATGTGCTTTCTGCCTTCTTCTCTCTACCTGTCCTAACACATATTTGTCCAACTATCTTAGCTCAGAAAATTACCCTCCTCCTTGCTGAGACAAGGTGTCATTCTCATATACTGTCTGAGGCCAGTGGCACTCAGATTATGAAATTTTCCAGGTTTCTTTGAGCAAAGGAGTTGGGCTGGAGGGAGAGCAAAAGAAGAGATAACTGGCCACAGCAATCTCTCTCTAATACACCAGACTGGGAGCCCTGGGCAACAAGGGCAAGGCGAGACTTTTCCCTAGGACCCTGGACCCTTCAAGCTCCCACCCTGACCATGGGTGCATGACTTAACCAACACCCACTTGGATGCATTTGTGGATTTCAGTTCTGTGTTCTGAACTGAACTGGCTAGTGTTGCACTGTAACCGTTGACCCATTTAAGTCTATATTTAAGAAACCTCAGTTTGGGGGCAGAAGTCCTGCCACTAACACCAACTGGGTCTCTGGGCATGATGGGTTTCCAGAGTGTGCTTCATCCTAAAATGAGCACCTTGGACTTAGAAGATGTCCAAGGCTCCTCCCAGCTCTGCCGGCTTGCAATTTGCTATTTTCATAGCAGACACCTGTGAGGCATTGAACCTGTCGGTGGCACAATGCAGATGGGCACGAGGGCTCAGTAATTCCTTCCACCACTAATCCACAACCCCAATCAAGTCATGACTCTGTGCTGTTGGAAGCTCCTTCCTCCCTCTGGCAGCAGCCCATGATTTGACCATAGGGAGTCAAACTGAGGCTCTCGTCTCCGGTCTCCGCAGGTTCTGGTGCTCCTCCTGCTTTCGCAGCTGGGCTTCTGCCCAAGTTCTGGTCCTTTTCCACATGCACTGGAATGAAGAGAAGTCCAGGGGCCAGGTGAAGATGAGGGTGTTTGCCCAGAAATGTCGGAAGTGCTCCCAACCTCAATTTGAGGTTCCCCAGTTCACGCAAGAGAACATCTCAAGGATCCTGAAGAATTTGGTGTTTCGAATTCTGAAGAAATGCTATAGAGAAGGATTTCAGTTGATGGAAGAGACTCCCACGATCCAGGACGTCTTTCTTGAAGGGCCGCATGACAGTGACAACTGTGAGGCATGTCTGCAGGGCTTTTGTACTAGGTCCCCACAGACTACGAGCCTCTCCACCTGGACCCCAAGAGCAAAGTCCATTCACGAGGTGGAGAAGGGAGCTAAGTCCCGGCCCTTAAGTGAGGATGTCTATTCCTGTGTGAACCAGAACCATATGCATAAGAGCTTAATCATCTGCTACTGTTGTCTCATTCTAATTGTTATGGTGGTGGTGATTGTTATTAAAACTACTAAATGAGCCTTGAAAACGTGATGCTTAGTAAAAAAAAAAAAAAAAGACATTAAAAAGTCACATATTGTATGATTCCACTGATATAAGATGTCCAGAATAGGTAAATCTATAGAGCAGAAAGTAGATGAATGGTTACCAGGGCCTGGGGTGGGGGAAATGTAAAGCAATTACTTAATGGGTATTGGGTTTTATTTTTGCAGGGGGAAGGGTGTGATGAAAATGTCTCGGAATGAGATAGAAGTGGTGCACAACACTGTCTGTGCACTAAATGCCATTGAAATGTTCACTTTAAAATGGCTAATTTTGTTACATGACTTTCAATTCAATATCTTAAAAAGACCTTTACAACTCTATTCATTCCTGAGAGAACTGCGTCTGGAGTGTGTATGACTCAAACCATATGGAAATCTTGTGAAGCCTGAGGGCTTTCTCACCAGAGCATTTTGCAAGGCCTCTGCAGTCAGAGGGTAGAGGCATTTGCAGTGGCATTTCAGCAACCTTGGGCTGCAAACTGGAGTTCTCAAACAGCAATCTCCACAGGGGATGCATGCAGCTGAGGGGCCAGGCAGGTACACGCCGCTGCATTTTTCTGTTTAAATACAACTTTGTTAGTATAAAGTGTTGCTTTATCAACACAGACTCACAGCCAACAGCACTGTAACTCAGGCCTGAACGGAGCTCATCCAACATTTGAAATTTTTGCATCAGGCACACCAGAGCCTTCTTGCTCTTTGGACACTACACAGCACTTCAGCACTAAGTTTGGGGGACATTTAGACAGTAAAATTACTCATAAAAAGTACAAAAATGTGAAAAATCTGGAAAAACTGATTGCAAAAATGGCACTGCTTATAGTATAAGAGCTGCAGCAAGCAGGCAGAGGGATACCCTCTTACACCTCAGCTAGGAACATGGGTGCTGGTGACAAATTTTCTCCTGCTCTGCACACATCTGTGAATGGCCATGAAAGCACTGCAAGTATTGATTTTGGGGTCTGCACACAGATTTTAGCACACAGGCAAATTCACAATATCAAATTCCTGAAAAATGAGGCTGACCTGTACATTCTCAATTACTTTGGCCTGTGGATGACTCTACCTGAGCACGTGTGCCTTACATGTAGAGTTCTCACCACAGGACTCAGGTGAGGTTGCCAGCTTGGAGCTCTGGGATCCCTACCAGCACACAGTGTTTTTCATGTCCAGAGGACCGGGTCTCAGAAATGATTTGTTCCTTGGACCAAGTGTCCTCCAAGTGACTGAACAGAAGCATGATGTTTTCCTAAGTAATCGTTGTACAAAGGACTGACTTTATGGAACTTTTGTTGAAATGATGAATGTAAGGGAACCATGGTACCTGGCTAGATGGAAAGTTGTGATTCTGAATACTTGGGATAGCCATAAAAACCAATTGTTTCTAAAGTGATGATGCCTAACTTTTAAAGACACTGAATTGAAATCTGTCAAGACAATGCAGCTAAAGTCTTACATACATGACTGTTTTGTTCCTCAGATCTGTTTTTATTTTTGTTTTGTTTTGAGTGGCTGTCTCACTCTGTCCCTTAGGCATGATCATGGCATGATCAGGGCTCACCACAGCCTCAATCTCCTGGGCTCAGGCAATCCTTTCACCTCAGTCTTCCAAGTAGCCGGGACTACAGGCATGCACCATCACTCCTAACTTTATTTTTATTTTTATTTTTGTAGAGACAAGATCTCACTATGGTGCCCAGGTTGGTCTCAGACTCCTGGGCTCAAGAAATCCTCCCACCTTGGCCTCCCAAAGTGCTAGGATTACAGGCGTGAGCCATCGCTCCCGGCAAAATCTGTTTTTGTTTAGTGGGAAATGACCTTCCTTGACTGAAAACATCAGGCAGGGGCTGCTATTCCATGTGGGATCTCTCCACTGCACACGTCTTGGGAAGGGAAAGAATGTGGGTTCGATTCAGGGTCTTAGCCAGAAACCTCATGTTTGTTGCTATCGTTGTTATGATATTTTAGTGTTAGTTGAAGGGGGAAATGTTGGTCAATATTCTCATATTAAAGCAAGGAAAAACACTTACTTCAATTAGAAATATTCACATGAAGTCATGACTTTCTGAAGTTGACTTTATTTACCGGGTTCTCTGCATGTCCTTTGGCTGTGAACAGTTTCAAAGCCAAAATGACATTTCCCACGTTACCCATTTGCCATTTCTCTCCTCATTCATATTCATGTGTGATCCTGGGTCTCTACGACACACCGTTTCTGAAACGGAAACAAATGTGTGTTTAATCCATATAGAAGAATATGTGACCAAGACGTCATTAAAAAGTCACAACAAAATGATTCCGAGTGAGCCTGGCCTTCGCAGACTTCACCACTGTTGCAATTCACACACAGGGCACGGGTGTGGGGACAGGCAGCTCTTCAGAGCCAACGAGGAGCAAGGGCCAGGACCAGCTGGTGGAGGGCTGAGAGGGGTCTCTCAGGAAGGGGTTCCTCGACTTGCAGAGGAGTGAGGGTAGCAGGCTGGGCAATTTGGCTTGGTTTTAGATGTAGTGAGGACCTACCTGGAGTTTGGGCCTATTTCACGTTTGCCCTTACTCACAGGTTGTGTAGCCCATTAAATCAAGGGTGAGGCTTTTTGTGGTCTCACCTGCAAGTAGGCATTTACTAGCCTCCCTGCCACACCCCACCTGGGCTTTCACTCCAATTTCTGACTTCCCAGCACTGCATGGATGCCAAAATCCCCGTGCAGACTTTAGCCTCCCAGCAGCTGGTTTCGTTTTTCCTTGGAAGAGCACCCTGTGCATGCACATCTTGGGACTCGGCCAAGTGATGAGGAAAATCTGAATACAGAGTATTGGGCCTCTTCTACTTAGTTCCCTTTTTTCTGGGATTTTGCCTTCTAATTCCAGGTGTTTAGGCAGCCTCAAATTCTAACTTTTGTCTCCCCCATCAAGTGAAGAAATCACTTTCTGCTTTGCTTTATTTCCTGGGCTGCAGTTTAGAAACTATCTTCAGGGACACCTGGAGTATATGGATCTTACCTGAGTGTATCTGGATCTTACCTGAGGACCTGCTCCTCATGACCCATCCACGGTGGCTGCCCTCCAGGGCTTTCTAACATTTGTTTTCTTGTTTCTGCCCAGCTTTTATAGTTATTTTTGATCTACAATTGGTCCAATCCTAGCTACTTTGTTTATAAAATCTGGACAGAGCTGTCAAATTTCATACCTATGGTCAAAGCTACTGTCCTTTACCACAGGAGTAGAGGTAAACACTAAGCCAGCCAACTTAGGACACTTCTTTCCTCTTGCATAAATGCAGTGTTCTCTAATAGAGACATACAATGTCAGTCACATATATAATTTTTTTTCAGTAGCCACATCTTAAAAAATAAACATAAGCAAGTGAAACAAATTTTCATAACCTATATTATCTACCCCAATATATGCAAAAAAATTACCATTTTAACATGTAATCATCCTTAAGATTCTTAATGAGAGATTTTATATTCTTTTAATACTAAGTCTTGGAAATAGAGTGTATATTTTACCCTTAACAGCACAATTTGGATGTTGCATTTTCTTTTTTTTTTTTTTTTTTTGAGTTGGAGTCTCACTCTGTCGCCCAGACTGGAGTGCAGTGGCCGCTCCTGGCCACCGCAGCCTCGCCTCCTGGGCTCCGGCGATGCTTCCGCCTCAGCCTTCCGAGTAGCTGCAATTACAGGCACACGCTACCACGCCCGGCTAATTTTTTTTTTATTTTATTGTAGAGATGAGGTCTCGCCTGCCCAGGCGGGTCTCGAACCCGTGGGCTCAGGCAATTCACTCACCTCAGCCTCCCAAAGGCAAGGGATTACAGGCTGAGCCACCAAGCCCGGCTTGGATGTTGCATTTTCATGGGAAATACTTGATCTGTGTTTACAGTTCATAAAACTTACACCTGAAAAATTAGTATCATATGTGAAAGTTATTCCAAACATAGTTTAAGTTGTCCAGCAGTTGAACAGATAATCCATTTTGAAATCTAAATTTAAAGTAATTTAGAGGCTGGACATGGTGGCTCATGCCTATAATTCCAGCACTTTGGGAGGCCAAGGTGAGAGGATTGCCTTAGCCCATGGTCTCAAGACCAGCCTGGACAACTAGTCGAAACCTCATCACTACAGAAAAAAAAAAAATTAGCAAGACCTCATCTTCACAATAAATCAAAAATTAGCTGGGCGTGGATTGCTGGAGCCCAGCAGGTTGAGGCTGCGGTGGCCGGGAGCGGCCACTGCACTCCAGTCTGGATGACAGAGTGAGACTCCAACTCAAAAAAAAAAAAAAAAAAATTAGCCGGGCGTGGTGGCACTAGCCTGCAGTTCCTGCTACTTGGAAGGCTGAGGTGGAAGGATCGCCTGAGCCCAGCAGGTCAAAGTTGTGGTGGCTGTGAGTGTGCCCCTGCACTCCAGCCTGAGCGACAAAGTAAGACTCCGACTCAAAAAATAAATATAGAAAAGTAATTTAGATAAAATTAAGTATCAGTTTCTGTCACACTAGTCACATTTCAAGGGCTTACTAAGCCATGTGTGGGTGTTACCTCCTCGTGACCTGTCCATGGTGCCTGCCCTCCAGTGGTTTCTAATACTTGTTTTCTCATTTCATGTTTCGGCCACAATGGTGAGCAGCACAGATCTGGGACACTTGAATGACTGGGGACTCCCAGGAAATTGCACTTGTCTGCGATTGTCTTCTCAGGCCCTGTGGATGCCAGCACACCCAGTCAGTTTTTCCAGGTCATTCATTATAATTTACTTCCAAACACTTCAATACAGATACTGTGTGTGTGCGCAAATCTGTGTTCATGTTTATCTATACCCTGTGTGTGGCTGCACACATCCCCGAGGTAATCCATTAGCATCCTTTAGAATCTAATTGGAATTCTCACTCAAGGCAGATGTGCTGTTTCAAATATTTCTACAAGGGCATGATTGTTAATTAGCATAAAATATATTAGAAATGGCTCTTAGGCTGGCT